TGCTCTTTCTATCCAGCGCGCCTTTCTTCGGCTTCTCCGCCTTGCCGCTGCCGTTGGAACTTTCCTCGGATTTCATTGATTTGTGGCCGGAAAAGCGCAGCTGGATCTGAGACGCGCTAGCCGCGAGGTCGCAGGGCCCTCTAAACCCCTCCGAAGAGAATCGGCCCGGGATTCCCCCTCCCCTCCCTCTGTTCCCGCGCCGCCGCCTTTCCCAGGTCTTGTCCTAATTTCATAAAATTACTCTCACTTTTCATTCGAAACGAAGAAATTGACTTGGAGTGGTATTTGTTTATATTCGAGTCTTCATTTAACCATGATTACAAATCCATTTGAATCCCCCCCCCCTTCAGAATGGCACATTTATGGCGATATATCTGGAATTTAATTTAAATGAAATTAGCTGCTTATTGTCCTTGTTCTTTGATCATTTGTAGTGTGAACATTTTTAGGATGTTTTCAAAAGAAAGATATTTTCTCTTTCAGGTTTATTGTTTCACATTATATGTGCTCGGCATGTAAATGCTAACAGATATGAAACAATTATATGTATAAGCTTATCCTTTATAGATTTGCTGTCCACTACCACGTTTGTGGTGTTTAAGGATTATTTAAACTGAATAGAAAACAGTAAATATATTTAGTAAGGTAATGTCATACATTACTTTGACAAAAAATGACCATTTAAAAATGAAATATAATTTGTATAAAAATAAATGAACTCCTTTAAAAAAAGGCATCTTTATAGAACCGTACAATATATGGCAGCAGCTGAAACAGACTATCTATTTTCACTTACTGTCCACCAGTAAATGATAAGTAGAAGCAGTAATGATTTTCAAGTGGCTACTTCAAAAGAATTCCCAACAGGGGAATACAGAATTTATCATTTCGACAACCAGAACAAAAATTGCTCAGTGAGATGAGGGAATATAGTGAGTAGGCCCTAATAGAGTTATTATTAAAAAATTACATTTTGCTTTTTCATACAGTGTATATCTGTATTTCCTTTTTACAATTTCTTTTTCAAACCTGTTCCAGAAAAATCAATGTCTTTGCAAAGGAAACTTTTGCTTTTCCACTCTGATGGCTTTTTAAATATTTTTTTTTTTAAAAAAAAGCTTGCTCTTCTAAAAAAACCAAAACAAAACAAAACAAGAGGAGAACTTTGAATGAATGGACACTGATAGGAAGCAAAGGGGGATAAAAGACTTGTTTCTCCTTAGAATGGGTATACTTGATTCCTAGAAAGCAGGGCCCAGGTGTGAACAAGTTCTGTCCTGAAGCTTGAGGAACAGTCATAAAATAATGTGTGTTTGTGTGTGCAGGCTTAAATGTGCAATTGGTGGTAATAATGAGGCCTAATGAAGTTGTTGGAAGATAAAATGTTATATACCAAAGACCTGATGGGCTAATTTGATTTCCCTGGTTTACTGCTGATAATAAAACATATATTGACTGAAAATAAATCACTTTCACTAAAGACTTTCAAAATGGGGAGAAAATGTTTTGTTCCTCTTGGATGAAATAATTCCTGAGAAATAATTATATCAATGTAGAAAGACTCCCCCTTTCTATGCATTTTTTTTTCATGCCACTAAAAGCATGATGTGGCTGAAATGGAGGGACAAAGACAATCCATTGTAAGCTACAATCTTATATCCAATTTCCTGTGAGTAAGCCCCTTGAACTCTGGAAATTACTTCTGAGTAAGCATGCCAGTTCATGCCGCTAAGCCCCTATGAGAGATTTATGCGCTTAATTTTTTCTCCACTGAAATTAGTGTGACTTCAGTGTGTTTAACTCTGGCGGGATTGATTTGTGCCTTATCATTGTTGGTCTGTGGAAGAGCAAAAGGGAGATTCAGCACAACTCCATTCTCCTCCCTATCTCTCTTTAAGCTGCTGCCGGGGCTGAGCAAGAATCTGCCTGGCGACTGTTGCACTGGACATGCCCCAGCAGCCTATGATGATGCCCTGATATTATCTTTCTTGATGTGGGTCAGCGCTCTTTTCAGGATGCCTGCTTATTTTTAATAGCACAATAAATATTGCCTCCTGAATCTGGATTTCAGAAATGAGGCTGGTGGGATTTGATGGAGAGTGAAGGCACAGAGAGAGTGAGAGAGAGAGAGAGAGAGAGATGGGACAGAAATATGTCTTCCCCATTCTCTTTATCTGAAAGAAAAATAATTTGGGAAAGCTTTGCTGAAGAGAGATGGGGAGAGCTTGTGAAAAATAAGTAATTGATTAACTTCCTCATTCTTTTTCTTTTCTGCTTCTCTGAATGTCTTCCAGGGTTCCCAGTATGAACTGAAAGACAACCCTGGAGTCCACCCTGCTACCTTTGCTGCTCACACCACTCCAGGTTATTATCCTTATGGGCAATTCCAGTATGGGGACCCAGGGAGACCTAAGAATGCCACCCGAGAGAGCACCAGCACCTTAAAAGCCTGGCTGAATGAGCACCGCAAGAATCCCTATCCGACCAAGGGTGAGAAGATCATGCTGGCCATCATCACCAAGATGACCCTCACACAGGTCTCCACCTGGTTTGCCAATGCCCGGAGGAGGCTGAAGAAAGAGAACAAGGTCACATGGGGATCACGGAGCAAAGATCAAGAGGATGGGAATCTCTTCGGAAGTGACAATGAGGGGGACCCTGAAAAAAATGAAGATGATGAAGAGATTGACCTGGAGAGTATTGACATTGACAAAATTGATGAGAATGATGGAGAGCAGAGTAATGAGGAGGAGGAAGAGAAAGTTGAGCTCTTGCGGCAAAGGAGAGAAGATGTCCATATGGAGAAAAATAAGGCCTTGCCAATGCCAGGCTCTGAAGGACTTAAACCCAAGGAAGCCTTGCCCCTGGGCAAGGAGGCCTCAGACAACCCTACTCGGATCTTGAGCCCCAGCAGACAAAACCCCCTGCAAGGCCCAATGCACAAGCCCAAGATCTGGTCTTTGGCAGAGACAGCAACTAGTCCAGATGGGGCCCTCAGCAAGCCAGCTCCTCCTTCACCTCCTGCCCAGGTGAACCACACTTCCCCCCAGCTCCAGCATCCAGCTTTCCTTCCCAGCCATGGACTTTACACTTGCCAGATTGGCAAGTTTCACAACTGGACAAATGGGGCATTCCTCACCCAGAGCTCCTTGCTAAATGTGAGGTCCTTTTTGGGAGTTAATCACCACCATGCTGCCCATCATAACCACCACCTTCAAGCCCAGCAGCAGCCTTCAGTGTTGACAGCACTCAGCACTGAAAAGCCTTCTGAGAGGACCAGCCCCAAACACATAGGTAATGTTTGAAACAAGCAGATAAAGAGGCCCCTTGCAAGTGGCTTGGGGTCAGCCTTTCAAGGTAGTCCAGAGCAGGAAACCAAAACCAAGAATACTAATACTACCTTTGTGTAAGGTTACAGTAACCCCTCCCTGCCTTTACATTCCAGAGAACTAGGGAAGGTCGATTCTCAGACACTTTCTCCACCCCCATTCCTGCTTTGGACTCAGATTTCTCTTATCAGACCATTGTTCATGCTGCACCTCTTCCTCCTGTCTCTCAAGGTTATTTTCACTGAACTGGAATTCAGTCACACTGGTGCAGTAATTCTGGGGCTCCCTCTCATGAAACATCAGGTCCTTGAATAGATCCATCATTGGTAGATTGTCCTATGACAGAAAGGGGAGCTGCCTTGGAGAGCTGGTGGAATCCATCTACAACCCAAGTGGAAAAAAAAGGTTAAGAAAATTGTGATAGCCCAAGTTTTTCTGTTTTAACAGAACTGTTAAGTCTTTTGACTTCTGAAAAACATGAAGTTAGCATGAACATATTTAGCTGACTTTGGAGGGGGGAAAATGGTAAGGCTTTTCAAAAACCAAAACTGTCCATTGCCCTTCTAGTATTAAATTACTATTAAAGGTATTAGAATAATAAAAATATTATTATTCATATTATATTATGCAGCAGATGGGGAACTGATACTGGACATTTTGGTTGAACTCAATGGGAATTTTCCTGGTAGGCACAAGATTTGAGCTGGGGTTCCTGATTCATTAGAGATTATGCCTTAAAAAAAAAAAAGTATGGTGAGATGGTAGAATAATATTCTTTGTGTACAGTATATATCTTTGGCTCTATGTGCCCATGTACGTAAATTTTGCTAAAACTATCTTTCTTTCTTTCTTTCTTTCTTTCTTTCTTTCTTTCTTTCTTTCTTTCTTTC